CTACTTAAATGCATTAATTTAGCATTATAAAATTAGCCTATTATATTTTGTGAGCATCCTCTTTTTCAATACACTGTGTATTTTTCATAATACTCAATATTCTTTCAAAACATTTATAAATGGCTGCATGACATTTGGTCCTATAATAATTTAATCTACTTATTGTTGGACACTTATGTTGTTTGCAAATTTTGCTATTATAAATAATGCTGTAATGAATATCTTCACATATAAAGACTTGTTCACATCTCTGTTCATTTCCTAACTAAAATTTCCTACAAGGCAGAATTATCAGAATAAAAGGTATGAATATTTTTCAGGCACCTGATACATACTGCCAATTTGCTTGTCAGGAAAGCTGTATACTTTCACCAGCAAAACAACATACTGTTTTACACAGCCTTGCCCATGTTGGATACTGTGAATTTCAAAATCCTTGCCAATCTGTTAAGTGAAAAATGGTATCCTATTGTTGATTTAACTTATATTGCTAAGGCCTCCAATAAGGATGAGCATCTTTTCTTTTGTTTACTGACCATGTATATTTTTCCTTTGGTAATGTTTTATGTCTCAAAAGAATGAGGATAATTGTTATACTGCCCAAGAGAATGGCAGGAATCTAGTTACATGGATGAGGACACTGAGCCCTAAGTAGTCACAGCCCAGAATCCAGTTCACTTGATATACAGTTTAGGCTGATGTTTCTCAACATAAAGTCTATGAACCGTCTGTATCAGAATCACGTAGGAGGTATTTTCAAAAGTGCAGGTTTCTAGGCCCCACACGGCCCTCTCCAAAATCAGAACTGGGGGGTTAAAAAGAACTGTAATTTGCTGGCTAACATTTGGGATTCTCAGTGAAAGACAGGACGGAGAAGAGTGCCGTGAGTTGGATCACTCGGGGACCTTTTTATAACCTACATATTCCCATCCAATCACTTTCTAACAGTTTTCCCCTCCCCTCCCCCATATTTTGATCTATTCTGCCAGGGATTTGATTCTGGTTCCAGAAGTCAACTTTTAATAAATACTAGTGGTAACTAATCCCCAGGTCTCTCTATAAGCTTTCCACATAAAAAGAGCTCACATTCTATAAGGCTATCTACTACTTATCTTCTCAGATCTTACTTTGAATTTATTTTCCCTCTAAAGTCACTCAGCAAATGTTTATTAAGTGCTTACTATGGGTCAGGCATTGTGCCTGGTACGGAGGGCACAGTAGTGAACACACATACAAATTTGAGGTTGGCAGCCAAATTACTTTGTAATTATTATAAATTCGCTGTGTTGAAAACTTCCAAATTATAACAGTAGCTTTCATTTACTGAACAATTATGTAATGGACATTGCGCTTGGTGCTTTACGTATATTATTTCTAATTCATAACAATAATCCTACTCTGTAAGATAAATGCTATGCTTATTTTACAGATGAGGAAACTGAGGCCCAAGGCCATAGAATAAATAAGGGTTAGAATCCAGGTCTGTGCTCTTTCCATTCTATTATGCTATCATTCTAGGGCTCTGACATCTTCCCATCATTCATATTTTCCATTCAAGTTTTTATCTTTTCCATTTTTTAAAAAACTCTTTTTGGTAATAAAATTTCCCTGTAGGATCTGATACTACCTACTTCGTTAGCATATGTTGACTCCATGGATTCAAATTATTCTAGTTAGAGATCCACCAACCCAATACCAAAAAATGATTTTTTTCTGTTTTTAAATACCTGAGGTACCACTCCCACAGCCCTCCGAAGGCTTTCCAGGCTCACATCTTGTATATTTTGACCAGCAAGGTAAATGCTACCTTTTTGAGGTTCATAGAAGCGAAACAACAGCCTCACTATTGTGCTTTTCCTGAAATTGGAGATAAGGAAAGGTTATTTAGCTCCTACTGGCATTAGAGAATCCCCATTTTAAACCACAACAATCATTTTATTATGATAAAAAAATATTACATTGGGAATCATCAATCAATAATGTAGAATTTTATAAATAACTAAATTACCCACCCTGACCCACTACCTCCTACAATGGCCACTTTCTTTCCTGCAGGGACTTCAAAAGACATTCCACTAAGGACTTTCTGCCCCTCGATGTACTCAAAATGCACATTATCAAAGGCCACTGTAGCTGTCTGTGGTGTGATCTGAAGGTGAGGTGCCATCACTTTGTCCTAGCAGGGAAGAGAAAAAAAAAAAGCCACTTTACACACTATCTAGAGTACAGCTATACAGACAACTTTCTAATTCACAGAGAGAAAAAGGAAAATAATGGGGAAGGAGGAGGTTTATAAAGGGACTTAAACCATTTCCAAGCATGCTTTTAAAGATTTGTTTTTTCACTCCTCACTGCTAAGGTAAAAATTCCTGAATGTTTTCGTTTCTGGGCAAACATTTTTTTAGGGGAGATTATGGGGATTATGGGTAAGGGAGTAAAGGGGTTGAGGATATGAGGAGAGGCAATCACACATTCTGTATCATTATTAGCAAAAATAAATTCAGTTTAAGTACAAATAATTCAATTTAATAAAATTTAGTTTCTAGATATAATATTCTTTGCTAACACTGTAAGGTTTTTAAACACAGATGTGAAAGCTATAGCAACCTATTAATACACATGATAGCCCCAATTCCTGCAAGAAAGAAATTGGCTTGCTAACATGGTGATGTAAGAATGTTTCCCTAGAATAATTAATAGGATCCTATTGATAGGATTAATAGGATCATCGTATTAATAGGATGATGCTCAAATATTTTTGAAAAGGAACTATATAGATTACTTACTTTAATTCGGGTGTCTACCTTGAGTAGAGTGAATAAGGTGTTCATATCTATGAGTGCTTGTCTAGTCTCTCTATATACAGTTCCCAGAAAGTTAAGGGGTAATGAAAGCTGAAAAAGCAGTCCATTCACCATTACTAGATCTCCAACGGTAAGGGTACCTTAACATGCATTTGAAAGAGGGGGGAAAAAAAGTATATTTTAAATGAATGTTATAAATTTTTCCAGTTTAAGAGGAGTTTATAGCCTATTATGGAATACAGTTCAAAATATACACAATCAACAAGTCTTAGGCGTACTCAAGCTCAAAGTATTCTAATTCATGATTTAGGTAAAACAGGGAACTTGGTATATGTTATGTGGAATAGAAAAGCCCATCAGTACACTATATATGTTATACACAAAAAAGAATGGCTTAAGTGAGGATAGAAATGGAAGGCTAAAATCTCTCCTTTCTTTCCTAAGACACTAGCAACAGTTTCCT